GAAGATTTAGAATTCCACTGTCAGCAGCGTAGAACTCAAATCTCAATTCTGATCTCGCCTCACTTCATGTAGCAGGAGAGGACCAAGGGGAGCAGCAGGGGTGTAGGTACGTAACAAGCAGGTCATCATGGTCTTTCGTACTCCTTTGGGTAGCATGGAGACACGGTAGAAGGAATGAATATCCCCATATGTAAACTATGGACAATGAAGATTGGGCCTAGAGGGGTTCCCACAACTGACTGCCTCTGTGATGACAGGATGAGCCTTATTTTGGATTTTCCCCACTGGGAGTACAACTTTGCTCTGTCCAACCACCTAACAAGTGTTATGGATGACCTTGGATGTGGCTGACCTCACAGAAAGGAGGAGAATCTACAATGTCCTCATTCACCTGGAGGAGTTCTCTACAAGTCAGGGAGGTCTTCTGGCCCAAGCCCCTCTGTCCAGTCAGGGAGAAGTAAAGAGCAGGCTGGCTTTGTGGGTTGCTGCATCTGAACCTGTGTAATAATGGGTTGTCCAATAGAGGAGCCACTAGCCAATGTGGCTACTGAACACCTGAGATGTGGCTGATGCAACTAAGCAGCGTCATTCACACTTTTATTTAACTTACCCTGATTTAAGTTTACATTTAAAAGCTGATATTCAATTCAATTATTGAAAAGCTTTTAACTATGTTTGGAATGACCGTGATACATGAATCTACATTTTTTATTGTAAATTTTATGAAATCTTATTACAGTTCAAGCATTTCCAATGAAAATTTAGTGTTTGAATTGGGATACGTTGTAAGGGTAAAATACAAACCAGATTTTGCAGATTTAATACAAAAAAGAAAGTACAACATCTCAATGATAATTTTTATATTGATTATGTATTAAAATAATAATGCTTTTAGCATATTGGGTTAAATAAAACATTATTAAAATTAATAATGGTTCACTATGTTTCTAGGAACAGTGCTGGACTAGACCATTCTGGGCAAATATCTCCAGATCTGCAACTTCTGTATTGAATCTATGCTGGAGAGGATGAGAAGCCGAGGTGGGAATTCTCCAGCCAACCAAGAAAATATTATTTAAAAGCACAAAGGTGAAAGAAGAGCCTTCCTTAGCCACCTTCCTGCACCCCTGTTCCAGACTCAAAGTCCTTTAAATAGCATCTCTGCACAGTAAAAACGTGAGGACTGCTCTGCGCTCTCCTGGGTCAACCTAGGCTGCCTCCGTGATTTTCTCCTTCAGTTCTCGTAACTCTGTCACGTTCATGGGTCATCCATGCCTGCACCAGCCTGGAGACTGAGATAGAGGCCTGGCTGCAATCGAAGCACTGGATTCCCCACACAATCTCACTCTCACGACTTTTCCTTAAGCCCCCCCTCCCCCCACTGCAACACCAGTGTAGCCTTAGTGCATGCATCCTACTCCAACCTCCCTGAATTATAATGAGCATTTTCTCTCCCTTCTCATTCCTCTATGGTCATCTCAATCTTCATCTCTTCCATTGATATCTACTGCGCCCTTTCTTTGTGCAGGCACAGAGTTGGGCATGGAGGTAAAAAACACATACCCTGCCCTCAAGGAGATCACAGTCTAAAAGGCAGACATTTAAATAATTAAATACAGCGTGCTAAGGGAAAAATGAACTGTGCCCATGGTATGAGGAGAGACGTCAACCAGGAGTGGAATTACCTAGGAGCTGACCCTTGGTTGTGGTCCTGAAGGAAAGCAAACAGGAGAGATGGCATTGAGGCAGGGAAGCAGTGCGTGTGAGCATATGGAGGTGTGAGGCCACACAGCACTGTGGAAAATGCAAGCAGATTGGTCTTCCCTGAATATAAGAAATGAGGCACGGGAGGGAAGTGAAGAGGGAACTAAGTTCCCATTTATAAGAAAACATGACGAGAAGAAGAACAGCAGAGAACTCTTCAAAACTATCAACAGGTTGTCTTAAGTTTCCTCCTCCTCTCTCTAAAGTGGCTTACATCTTTCCAACAGGTTAAGAAATGCTCAGTTGCCCAGGGGTCATTAGAGGCCTTGGAGTTTCCAGCATGTATGGCATCATCTTTGTCATCCAGCAGCATTTGTTGGGTGCCTATTATGAGCCAGTCACGTACCTGCTATAACAAAGATACAGAAGACGCTTCCTAACTAACCCAGCACCTCATGGTCAGTTCAGGGTGAAAACAGGCAGGGCAAAGGAAGTTTGGCAGGGAACCATTTTTTTTTCTCTTTCTTACTACTTGGGAATAAAAAAGCATGTATTTAAAATGTTTTGGGGGTAAAGAGATCCTGTTCCCCCAAAAATCAGTGTTTCCTATTCTCAGCCTTCTTTCTCTGCAACGAATGACCTAAGTAGAGAAGGAAGGTGTAAACTCGTACTGAAAACTCAGTGTTCATGCAGACGCCATTCCTAAATCTTCCTGGTCTAAATCATTCTCTGGAGTGTTTCTCCTAACAGGTCATTATGATCACAAATTAAAAGACCATTCATTTTAGCACATAGTGGAGAACAAAGGCTTAAACTTGGGCAAATCCCAAGGACCTTCCCCTTCATTTTAAAGAATAAAGTGGGAACATGTAAAAACTGAATGCACAGAAACCATTAGCAGTAGAACAGATCAATGCTCTGAGATCATTAGTTTGACTACCACTAAATTTTCCACAGTTCCATAATGACTTTAAAAAAAAATCATCATTCTTTTATATACTATGGATAATAATGAGCTAAAGTCGATCTTATATACATCACAGCTTTAAGTATCATCCATCCAAGAGCCTCATAAAATTCAGTAGCTCGTTGTTCCCTGCGTCTGAATGGCTGCAGTTGTCATGAAAACACTGCCATGCTCCAGCCCCCAACTGGGAGCCACCCCAGACCTGCAGCGTGATACATCCTTGTTGCCCACGACCAGCTGCTGCCTCCTGGCTCTCCCTCTGCCACCGCCCTGCAGAGGTGAAAGGTGAGCCTGGGCACCCTATTCAGTCAGTTGGCTGGGCAACTGTGGGCAGCCGAAGGTCAAGGAATCGTCTGTGGTGAGAGGACATTTTGCTGAACCCAAATCTAAAGTTCTTTCTGTCTAAACCCATCGGGGATTGCTTTAATACCCAGTTTTGAGTTCAAGTTTGCATTGTGGAGCTGAGCTACTGAAACACCATCACCACAAAAAGCTCTGTGAGTCTTGTTAACAAAACAGAAAGGACTTCTGCCAATAGCTGAGAAATAAATTCCTTCTTTCCTGCCGCTCGGACCACAGCGTAATGAGGGCTCCCAAGCTCTCTTTGCAGTAATAAAATGGAATAAACAGGCTTTTCCTTTTGATGTATTCCAGTTTAAAAGTTTGGAGTTGATGCCTGTTCATCCTTAATTTATCTTCCCTTGTAAATATTTCTGTACCAGTTCCAATATCTGAAGTCTACACATTTTCAAAAAAATAATTCACTCCTTCTCCTATTTCAGTTGTATAACTTTATGTTATGAGTCAAATTTGGGGCTAAATAAACATACCTCAGGCTACAGCTCTGCAAATACCTTTGGCAGCAAATTAACTCAAACAAATGTTTGGGTTGGGTGGCAAGGTTGTTTTTTAACGATCTTCCTGATATGCTGGGAGGTCCAAGGATAGGTTAGGTGAACTCCCAAAAGCTTTTCTAACTTTGTATTTTCTGCCATATTTAATACACAAGTCTCAAGTTAGTTGCAGTGGGTGATTTGAAATGTCACCACCAGAGGGTGCTACTTGTTTGCGTCTAAAATTCATTTCACCATCAGACTAGAAAAATGGAGACCCTGTTACCAAAGATAGTCGGGGCCAGCCATCAATACTCAGGAAAAGTTTTCAGAAGGCCTGTAGGCAGTGCTCTACTTAAGGAATCAGATTTCACTTTGCTTTTGACATGATGTGTTTAAAATCAAAATTGAAAAGCTCTTTAGCTTGCACAAACCAAACTGCACTAAGTTACATATTTGCTGTAAACCAAGCAGGGAACGTGAATCGTTTTTCACTCCTAAGGCTTTTGTTCAGTATTTACTATATAACAACAATGAAACCAGAAACCTGACATCCTCTTCACCACACCAAACAACAAAATAACAAAGTAAAAACAGAGCGTGCTTAGCTACAATAATAATGCCACTCTCAAACAATACGACCTTCACTTATCCTATTTTAAGGATACACATTATCTTTCTTCTGCTTTGGTCTAATTCACAACTTCCAGAGAGCATTTTGACTTATCAGCTTCAACCTCTCTTACTAGTGGGGTTTTTTTGTTTGTTTGTTTTTTTATCCACAGAGATTTGCATGTGGATTTTTCACTTGATATTTTCTGGTATGTACGAAAGAGGCGTGGAGTTCAATTCCCATTCACTTATGCTGAGCTTCCATGGCAAGCCTTTTTAAATTATGGTAAAAAACACTAGTGTGTTCTCTTCTGAATTGGCAAAGCCAATCAGGGATCAGCAAAGGTTTTCTGTAAAGCACCATATTACAGTAACAATTTTGGGCTATGTGCGCCATAAATTCTCTGTCATAACTACTCACTCGTACCATTGTCGCCAGAAAGCCGCCGTATAGACAGAAGCAACTGGGTGTGGCTGTGTTCCAAAACAGTTTATTTCAAGGAACAGGTAGTGGCTGTAGTTTGCTGACTCCTGCACACGATGGAGCCTAGCGTACACACTCTTCTTGTTGATAACATTCAGAAAAGTTTCTATTGCATCCCCCTTTGATGCTTTTCCCCCCTCCTCACACAGTTTTGACAAACTGTGACCTCAGTAAGTTACCCGTTTTAAAGTTCACGGGCCCTTTGGAGGAATACCACTGGGATCCCTCTCCAGGCTTTTCAAAATCAGAGCCGAAGGGGCCTTTAAGCCTTTGGTGTGTCATTATTGTGTGTGTCCTGCGAAGATCTGTTATTGTAAGATACAAAATCAACAAGAAGGATGTGACGCCCTGGCAATTTGTCCAGAGAGAATATGGAAGGTAAACAGAAGACGTAGTTTACCTTCAGACTGATGTGTAGCCAGAGGTGTCTGCGTCTCCTTGCAGTAGGACACGACTTCCCTTGGCTGGAAATCCACTTGGGTAACCTTCGATACACCCAGCTTATGCAGTCTTCGTCTACAGGTAACAAAGGACAAATACTTAGAGAGGGAAGGCATTCCTTGCAGAAGAGCTGTCAGTAATAAAACAAAGGACTACAACAAGCACACTCCAAATACCCTCAGTGTCCAGTATAAGGGTCAGGGGCTGGAAGTAGCTGTGACCCTCGGCTGGAAGGCAGGACATTTGGCTCTCGGCCCACGTGGTGACTAATTTACGGCGTGATGCCAGGTAGGTCCTTCATGATGACCCTCAGTTTTTCTACCTGTAAAACTAGGTCTTGGTCCTGCTCAGCTGAGGCCCCTTATATTCTGAGCATCTCTGATTTTGCTTGATTTAAACTCATAAAGGGAATTTTCATTTGTAATACAGGCCTGCAGACTCTTAGGTGAAAAGGACAAAAGAAAAGTATGCTTCTCTAAATGTGAAGAAAAGCGATTCCTCACTGGAGTAATATGTTTCCTAGGACTGCAACGAGAGGGTCATATTCTAAGGGGAAACATAACATCTCTCATTTCTCAGAAAAGGAACTAACATAGATCAGCGTGTGAACTGGTTTAAAGACACACTGATTTAGCACAGGTGAGTGAAGAGAGCACTGGGCTAAGAGTGATAAGGTTTCAGCTAGGAATTCCCACACTGACTGTAACCATGTAAAACAGCGGTTCTCAACCTTCCTCATGCCGCGACCCCTTAATACAGTTCCTCATGTTGTGGTGACCCCCAACCATAAAATTATTTTCGTTGCTACTCTATAACTGTAATTTTGCTAGTTATGAATCGTAATGTAAATATCTTTTTGTTTTCCGATGGTCTTAGGAGACCCCTGTGAAAGGGTCGTTTGACCCCCAAAGGGGTCGTGACCCACAGGTTGAGAACCACTGAACTGTAAAAAACCCTTTCTAAATACGTATGCAGTACTTCAAGTGTTTTCAAACGTCTTTCACATCTAGTATGTACAACACCTCTATGAGGCATATGGGCAGATGTTATCATCATCTCCATTTTATAAATGAGGGAAGTGAAAACTGCTGTTGGCCGGACTCCTGGTCCAGTGTTTTTATCCACCAAGCCAAACTCCTACCTATGGCTCTCAGTGGTGATTTCTGAGTTACCACAAAAATCTGAAGTGCCTCCTGAGTCACCCAGGAAACATCCAATCAGGGAGGCAGCATCGCCTGGTGGTTAGGGACATAAACTCTAGCCCCACCATTGATCAGCCATGTGTGTGATCTTGAACAAGTTACCTAATCGCTCTGTGCCTCAGTTTCCTCATATGTAAAAACTGGAGACATTATTAGTACTTACTATTAAGGTTGTTAAAGGTAATATATATGTACCACATAATATAATGCATATTGCACATAGATATTACATATACATATATACATAATTTACAGACATATATATCTTATAACAGTTTCTGGAACATTACTTTTAGTATATAGATTTAGTACTAATGGTGAACATATTATATTTATTAAAAATTTATAGGCATAGAGTACGTGTGTATGTGTCTAAGAGACAAAAAGAGAGAAAGGTGAAATAACCATTTAGTCAAAACCCCACATTCCCTAGCTCTCTAGGATCACAAACATACCCTATTCATATTATTGTTTTTTACTATTCCTAGCAGATGGCACACATGCATTGCATGTTTAACATGAGGAATAATAAAACGAAAGAAAATGCATAGCACAGCTACAACTTTCCACACACAACATCCCAAGCATTCTAGGAAAACAAAAAATTTCCTCTTTTCTGTGAGTGACTAAAAACAACTGAGGTGAGATCTGAGATGTGAGGAAAGCAGACCCAAGCAAACTAGGCTGGTTTGGAGAACAGGCCTCGCTGGCCGTCGCTGCTGCCCTAATAAGCATCACCGTCGCCAAACTCCACGCGGGCCTGGGCCACATGGAGGTCTCATTCACCTGGAGGTCTGAACCACAGAGTGTAAAGGAGGTGAGGCTGGGTCCCCCACCCTCCCATGCAGGCTCCTCACACAGAATTAGGGGAAGATACACAAAATGCACTAGAAACAAAATTCCAAACCAGTAAAAGGCTCAAAGTTTCAAAGTAAGAAATTCAGGTATTATTTTTAAAGCCTTCTGTGTCAGAGAAGAATGTTTTTCTTCATGAAATGAATCTTTCTTGAAGCATCTGAAGAAGGAAACATGAATAGACACCCCAGGACTGCTTGAGGCAAAGCCCCTCCTGACGTTGAAGAGCCAGAGCACCCCAAGAGATCAGTCTTCATCACAAGCAAAGAGACAGGGAAACAAAAACCAAAAAACAATGGACTGGTAAGGCACCCTACCACTTTAAATTGGGGTCACCCCTGGCATGGAGAGATCACCCTGACTTTAGATTTTGATGGGTATCTGTGTGAGGCCCAGAAATACCCACACTCCCCTTAAGAGGTACCTATCTACACACCTACAGGCAAGGATTCTAGGGCATCTTGCTAATGAGATATAAGCTGTAGGCCTATCTTGTTGGGTGACCAGCAGCAGGCACTGGACAACAGAGGCTGATCTGTAATTTAATAATCCACCACGGAAAACTGAAACCAGCTGGTGAGGCAGTATAGCGTAATGGTTAAGCCGTGTACTCATACAGAAACTGGGTTCAACTCCCTGGTTTGTCACTTACCAGCTGAATGGTATGTGAAAGCTTTGGACAAGTGGCAAACCCCTCTAAGCCTCATGTTTCTTATATGCAAAATGGGTACATATCACTGAGTTATTATGAAGAGTAAATGAAGCTGATACTTGTAAAGCACTTAATTTAGTGACTGCCACACAGTAAGCAGCTCCTGGCTCAAGCATCTCTACTTTTAACTTATCCTTTTAACTGATTATAATAATGCTCATATTTGTCTTTAAAAAAATCATAGAAGGCAGATTTGTGAATGTTCTAAATTAAAGATTCTTTAAAATAGTATATTTGAAGATACATTTGCCAATAAAACACAAGAGTCCCACTCCTAATTTCTTTGGGCATATGGATGGAATGACTGCTTGGATGATTTCATTTGCTTTATCTTTAACTAAAAGTATTATCACCATGAAACTTCTCAGTTCTCAAAACTTAGCTTGAATAAGTGATCTTCTCCCACTAAATACACTATTTTCTTTTCTCAATAATTACTGAAACCAGCTCCTCACTGATGCTGTGTTTGCAAATTCAGGGTCACAATTCAATCTAAGCCATCAAAAATAAGTAAAAGTTTAGTTGTGATCATGTGATTCCCCCAACATGCTGATGCACTGATAAACTTGTGGTTCTTCTTGCTTGGGGGTGATTCTGTCTCAAGTGACTTATAATTATAAAGCAGCTGCTTATTACACGTCCTATTGGGTATTGGTAGATGACTGTATCTTCCCATGCAATCTCCAGACTGATTAAACTGAATTTATAGCAAATGTTCTTATTCTTTGTGGCTATTTTGCCATTATTTTAGTAACTGTGTCAATACTTTTCAAATATTATTTTATTATTGTTAAAATTTTGCATAATATTCCAATTTTATAGATGAGAAAAATTAACTCAGTGATGTTAAGTAACTTGCTCCATGTCACAAAGGTAGTAAGTGACAGACCTGGGTCTTGGCTCTATCCAACAGTATGTGCAGGGCCACGTTCTTAAAAACGGCCAGGTTGACCTTGTTCTGCCTTTTTCTAAGCCTGTATGATCATCCACTCATTGAGACACACCCTTACAACCTAATATAGTAGAGGTATAAGCACATGTGCTTATTTCATAAGCATGAGAAAGGATTCCTGAGAAGTAGCCAGACCTAGAGTATTAGGACATAATGGAAAGATCCTATTTCCAAAGCGAGCACCACACAATTGTTCCCAGCACTAGCTGGTTTAGAAAGGCTGGCCAGAAGGTGGCGCCCTTCCACAACAAAGACCTTCCTCTAACACGTTCTCCAACTGAGTCCACACTTAGGAGTCTCTCGTGGACCAGTGAGTCCTAAGATCTGTATGTCTCAGCTGATCCAGAATCCATCCATTTATACAACCTCATGATAGACAAGTTCTTCAACTTCCCTAAAATGTTTCTATAATTTTAGCAGCTGACAAAATTATTATATGACTATGTCTAACTGATGGAGTACACAGTAGTTATTTTCTTTAAAAGTATAAATACTGAGCATCATGTTTCTTATGTTTGTTCAGGGCCTTACCAGTTCATAATTCTTTTACTCAAGGGTGCAAATTAAACTACTTAGCAAAGGAGAAAAAAAACAGTGTTCCATTAATGCTACTATAATTCTTTTCCTTCTAATGAGGCTATACATTCCGTGTTGGCTCTTCAGTTCTGAGTCTGGCTGGGATACCTTTCCTCCGTCTCACCACTCTTAATGCCAAGTTCATCCCCTTACTACTGTACACACATAAACTTCCACCACAGCCCCTGTTACATGTCATTGTATTCACCTCTTTTTATGTCTGGCTTGACTGCAAACTTATTTATCCTTTTTTCCCTCTGTGCATGGTGACTGAGTTCAGTGTCAGGTACAGAGCAGGTACTAAATAAATATTTGAGGAAGGAAGGGAGGAAGAAGAGAAGAACTGAAGGATGCAAAGAGACAAGGCCTGATAAGAGAAACAAAAACTGAGACTTCAATTATCTATGCCATGGTCAACATGGAATCATTATTAAATCATACTGTGTGTATTTTCACCTTGGTAATTTATTCTAAAATAAAAGACTTTAATAAAAATCTAAATATGCCAAATTAAATGTATACCATGTTCTAACTAACTGTAAGTAAACAATTCAAAACCGCTTAAGAAGTATAATAAGGTCTCATATATTTGGATTCATTGTGACCGAATTTAACAAACATAGAGAAAACCCAAATGGGAGAAGTCCTAGAAAAGAGGTTCCCAAAGTGGTCCCTGACCGGTAGCAGTAGCAGCAGCACTTGGAAACAGGTTAGAATGCAAGTTCACAGGCCACACCCCAAAACCTGTTGAACCAGAAACTCTGGGGGTAGTGTCCAG